TCAACAGCACTGGTTCAAACCACCACTACCGAGACCTACAGGGGATGCAAAAAGTCTACAGTACATACCCTCATTGAAATGGCAGCCTTTTGTGATGTCAAGCCAGAAATCAAGATAAATCATGTCAGACGTTTTTCCATCTTTAATGTGACCTTGCAACCAACAAAATTCAAGAGAAAAAAAATAATTGAAATTAAAAAACCTACAACACCCTGGTTGCATAAGTGTGCAATTTCAATAAGGGTGTGTAGACTTTTTATATCCACTGTATGTGTCATAATTGCATTCAGTAGGAAGCCACTTTACTGTTTGAGCCAGTTGGGAGTCCCACATGCCAATTTGAGTGTAAAAAGGTTCAGGGTTAAAGCAGGGGTTCTAAACCCTTTGTCTCTTACGGGCCTTTTGTAAAAAAGGTCACCCTTTTTAAAGCCCCTTCATTTTAGAATACAGAAAAATTAGATCAATAATTGCAGAAATCAGCTTAAAAACCCAAAGCAGATCTACTGCATGAGAGTGCTGGTTTAGATGCTGCTTACTTTCAAATGATAAATTGGTGTTTAAAAGATTAGCTCTGTTTCTGGGGGCACTTCTGGACAGTCTCTAGGAAACCACAAGGGGTTAGATTTTGGGATAGTGCTTGAGGATGAAGGAAAGCAAGGCATGAGACACCTTTTATCATGTACCTTGTCCTCCTTCCATTTCTAAAGAATCTACAAAGCATCAGCAGTCCACAGTGAACCAGGGTGCTGACTCTCAGAATTTCCAGCGCAGAAAAAGAAATAGAGGTCTTCATGTTTTAAGCAAGCCGTACAATACCAACTGAATATTTTACAGCATCTTTCTATTCTGGGAAGCGTTTGTTCTGCTGAATATTGCATCTGTGCCACAAATTCTGCAGTACCATCGTGTTTTGGAGAACGAGATTGAGAATAAAGATTGGTGACTTCAAATCCTAAGATCAAGCTTTATTTATAGAGCGAACACAGCAGCAGTATCAGAAAATGCCATGTTTTGCATATATCGGTTGCGCAGGTCTGTCCTTCAGTCAAGACAAAGTGACTTCAGCTTTTTGGAATAATCTACCCCAGGAAGTCTGCTTCTATCTATTTTTATCTCCACATTTCCAGCCTGTCTAACAGTATAGTAGTCAGACCTGGGAGCTGGCAGTGTTTGGGATTCATTTATGAAACACCAGCATTGACCTGCAAACGGAGCATGTAACTCTGTTACTGGTGAAAATGGACACCTGACTGCAGCTCTTCATAATCAGCCAAGCGGTCAGGCTTGCCCACAGTTCTTGGTGCCATCAATCACCCTTTTTGATTAAAAAAATTTGAAAAATATCCAAGCCACTGAGCACATTCAATTTATTTTAGGGAAAGGGCCTCTAATAACACCACCACCAGGATGATCTGATAATTAAAACTTCTCGAGTCAAATAGCACGTTATAACTGCAGCAAGAGATGGAGAATGGGTGACTTCAACAGGGAGTGACATTACTCTAAAAGATCAGGGTCCCCTGCTACCAGTAGCTCCGGTATATCTACCCCTTTCAAATGCAGTGACAGGCAGTCCAGAACTGTAGTGCTGAAAGATGTGGGTGGCTCCTAACTCAACAGCTGTGAACTTAGACCCTTGCTGGTGCAGCCCACTGCATTTTCCAGTGTTCATTCCAGGCGAAAACCCTTTCAGCTCCTCAACCAAAACGCTCAGGTGAACAAAAAATCTGGACATCATGTTGGCTTTTTTTTATCACAAACGGATGGAGATAATTCATTTAAGAGTTCAGAGTTCAACTGATCCAGTAGCTTGGGGAGTTCCTAGGACCAGGACAGAGGAAATCGTTGGTCTCGGTAAGAGAGACTCAGTACACTATAAGAAGCGAGGCAAGGCAAATCCGGCCTGAGGCGAGCCAGCCCTGAGCTCTCGGCCAGTACTCTGGGACAGACGGCACTTACCCGCAGACGGCAGCGTGCAGCCCCTGGGCTTGCTGGAACCGCACGGGGGCCTCTTGTGTGAAGGTGCCAGCTCCAAGCTGCCGCCCACCAGGTCGGAGTGGTGCACCCGCGCGATGGTGGGGGACTGCGGGATGCTGGGAAGGGTTCGGGACTTGGCCAGAAGAGGTCTCTGCAACTTTCTCTCCAGCGACCTGAAATGCAAACACGGCCCGGTCAGATCGGTCAGGATGCACCTGAACGCTTAAAAGCCTGAGGCATAATACCGGAATGGCGGGAGATGGACAGTAGCTGGGGCCCTTTTACTATACAACAGAAATGCTAGACTCCAGGCCCTGGCTGCTTTTAACAGTTTTGGGTATTTTCATCCATCCATTTTCTAACTGCTTCGTTCAATTCAGAGTCGCAGGGTTGCCGAAGCCTAACTGAGCAAGGCAGGATACACCTTAAACAGGATGCAAGTCCATCGCAGTTCTAAGTACTTAAGTATTCTAAATAAACGAGTAATTAAATTGGAGTCCCCCTTTCCATAAAGATGATACTGATGCGACACTACATTATGCAACAACCTTGAACAAATAATGTTACCTATAAGTTGCTTTATGTAGATGTCTACTGGATCAAGCACCGAGCTGAAGTGGTTTGATTAAACAGATGAAGCGATTCCAAAAATAATAAGGATGGAAGCCCCACTGTACGCACGTTTGAAAATCCCGTGTTTCAAATGCAGCGCATCATTAAATAGCTGGCTGTCTGGGGCTCAAAGAAGCAGTTGATATCCAATTAAGACAGGCGCAACCAGAGATCTGAGAGCTTACAGAACAGAAAGACTGCACACAGAGTTCAGCACCAGGAAATCACATAATAAAGGCAGGTTAATGGAGACATCTTGGAGAAAATGTGTAAACTCCCAAAAAATGCCGCAGACAAACGTTCAGAGCCCCTGCATTCAGAAATCACGAATAAACCGTGACTTCGTTTTCGTGCAAGCCTCCTGTGCAGCCTCAACAACAAACGATCAAAGCTTCTATTGTTTCACACACCTGAAGGAGGCTCCACAAGCGCGCTTTACTTTTCAGCATGGAGTGAACCTTTACCCATTTCTTTAAATGAATTATGATAAGAATGAATTATCATTAGAGATGGCCCGCACTCACTGGAGTACTGCGGACGATGAATGTGAATAATTCGAAATAAATTAGCAATTAAATAGGAGGAGATAATGGAGAATCGTTTGTTCAGCCTACACACCAGAGTTTATGTTCAGCCCAGTTACCCACACAGATCATACGTCATACATTTCCCAACTAGTACACCGTGTAGAAAGTGTCCGGAATCAGGAGCCAGCTGTCCAATGAATCTTTTCCACAGAATTCATGGATTCAGGGAGCCATCTGTTTGGAAAACCTTTTTTTTTAGAAAAAAAGAAGCTCAATTTCAAAGCAGTAGATGCTGCCTGAGCCCTGTTCTTGCTAGAGGTCCAAAAACGTTTTGGACCTTGGCACTAATCATTATCTTACAATTCTCTGTCTGCAACGTTTCTGGGAAGAACAGCCCTGCAGAAAAGGCATAAACAGCATTATGGTGGGGTAGCTTCAACTACTGGGTTCGTTCTGAAGATAGTACGTTGCTACCAAAAACAAGTCGTTTTTTTTTTTATACAAATTTAAAGTTAAACTGGATAATTTGGGCAAACAACTAAAAATAAAGTCACTATTTTAGTGGGTGCACATCACGATTAATAAGTGCGTAACAAACGATTGCTAACAACTACGAGCAGTCATTAATAACATATTCATAAATGTAAAGTGCCACTTATTACCAGACTGCTGAAAAGTTTTCTTCCCATACCATGGGTTAGTTGCCCCTGTTCTGAAGTGTGACAAAACCGAAAAGAAATGCCTACTTCAAGGAAATCTATAATTAGCATGCCTATCTACAGTATCAATGCATGGGTGTGAAAGCTGGACCCTGAAAAAAGCTGCCCGAAAGAGGATTGATGCTTTCGAGCTATGGTGCTGGAGAAGACTGTTAGGGATACCATGGACAGCAAGGGTCACCAATAAAGAGGTTCTGGAGCGCATCCAGCCAGAAATTTCGCTTGAGGGAAAGATCACCAGACTCCGGCTCACTTATTTCGGTCACCTGATGCGATCAGATTCATTGGAGAAAGCAATGATGCTGGGAATGGTCAGTGGAACAAGAAGACGAGGCAGCCAAAGAATGCAGTGGCTGGACGCCATCAAAACGGACACTGGCTTAGGCATAGAACAGCTGAAAGGGAAAGTCCAAGACCGGAAAGCATGGCGAGAGATGGCCTATAGAATCGCCGAGAGGCAGATCCGACTGACCATCATCATCATCTACAGTATGAAAGAAACAAGACACTTGTTTAACTGCTTAAGGTAATAAACTTGCCATGTTGACAATTGTTACTGGTTTAAAATGGACTGTTTCTCTTTTTTTCCTGACACTTCCTTCAAAAGACTTACATAGCACTCCATCATCTGGTAGAGCAACAGGGAACCATCGATGATTGAGCAATTTCCTCTCAAGTGGCAGAACTTGGGAGTCATATCCCACCGACACGTGGCAACAAAACACGCTTGCCTTAGTGGACAACTGATCAAAGTTCCTACCAACAAGAGCACTGCAGTGGGAATTATTTAACAAAGGCAGAAGCTTACCATCTTTCAGAAACAGAAAGCAACTAGGAAACCTGGCAGAGAGTGACTATTAAAAATGAAATCCGTTTGCACTAGCAGGGAGTTTGAAGATCTGAAGTAAGATGTAGACATATGCAGAAACTGCACGGAACACACTCTAAGAGATAGCTTTAAAATGCACTGCAGTGTAGATTTCACAAGCTCCCGCTGTGTAATCTAGCATAACAAAATAAAATAAAAAAAAGCTAGGACAGAAGCCAGCCAGCATTGAAAGAGCCTGTTACATATCAACAATTTCCTTTTCTGTGGCTTCCAAAGCACGTTTGTCTCCACCGTACAGCACGCAAGGTTAGCTGACATCCCTATCTCCCGATAAAAAATGCTTCGTCTTGCCATCAGGAAGCAGAGGGATGCCAGGGAAAGAGCTTGCCCTCTCTGCTGATGTGCCAGCGCCGTGGGGGAGAACGCTAATTCCGCTGCCCCTTCGCTCCACGGGAGCTTTGAAGTTGCCGAAGGCGCCGTTCGACTGCCAGAACCGGATTAGACTCTCTCCACTTTCCTGGAACGTCGTGGCATCTCTCTTCCTTGGCGGGGATTAACACTTTCTTAAGGCAAAAGCAGAGAAACGAAAACTGCTTCTGAAAGGCGTCTCGGGACTCATGCTACGAAACATGAAACAAACCGGCTTTGGTGGTATCTGTAGTTAGAATTCCTGGCCAATCGAGTGCAGAGCTGCTTGTTCCATCCTCTAACAAGATAAACTGTCGCTCAGTTTGAGTGCTGCCTTTGGCAGCCTTGACACGACTTGGTTTTGAAAGTGTTGGTAAAGAGATCTTTGATTTTTAAATGGCATGTGCCAGTTCCACGTGTTAAAAATCCTGGAGTTTATGTTCACTTCTATGCTCCACCAAAAGCATACTGAGCATAAGTCTAACACTCAGTTCAGTTACCTATAGACAGCCATTGGGCATGCAGAATAATAGTTCAACAAAAAACAGGACTTTCATTTTACATCCATTCGCTCACATCTGACAGATTAAGGCTAAATCAATATCGACAGAGAAATTAATCTGATTAAAAAGAAGGAGCATAATGTCTGCAGCTGTATTGCAGTCAGTCTGCGTGCCTATTTGTCATCCGCACATAAATGAAAACCTTGCCCACATACAGTACAGTATGCGACATTAAAGAAAGTGATGAATCGCTAAGTGAGCATTGATGAAGTTCTGGGATGACGTCCAGCGTGTTTTGTTTTGCAAAGGTTTTGATTTATCTGAATTTGGATCTCAGAAGCGCCTGGTCTATAAAGCTAATACAACACAAACCATTCGTTTCCACGAAATGGCATTTCACTTGTTAATAGAGGCAACAGCCAAGGAGAAACCCAAAAGCACAGAAAGAGTCTCCGTGAGGTACAAAATCAAAATTGGAATGTACTGTACTGCACATTGTATATTGTATCATTGTATTTTAAGATTTACTTAGATAACTACACGTTGGAAAAGACAAGACATTAAAGACAAATACAAATGCTGCTGTATATCATCTCAATTCCCCTGCTGTTTCATTGCAGACAATCTCAACACCGGTCTGTCGGTGGATACATTATTTGACTTTTTCCGTCAAAATAAAAATCTGAAAACGGTTGTCTTTGCTGGGGTGGAATGAGGAAGTATATCAGTGTTGCCTGTCAATCACCACCAGTGGGTTTTAGAGTTGGTGCAACAATCAAGTTGGTACCCTCATAAGCGTCTTGGTCATAAGCTTGGAAGCATAGCCATCTAAGGAGGAAATATAGGGCTGGCAGCTCCAGAGAGCTTGAGAGAGAACAAATACACTGCCCATGCCGTCAAGCAACAGATCGGCATCCAGCCTAAACTCTACAACTCTGAATTAATTTAGATGCTTATTCACAAATGTTCAGTGAGGTTTGTGGCCAATTAACGGGGCGGAGTGGTGGCACTGTGGCCAAGGATCTGCGCCTGTGGCTGGAAGGTTGCCGGTTCAAATCCTGCAGCCGGCAGAGGAATCCTACTCCGTTGGGACCCTGAGCCCCAATTCCTCCAGGGACGCTGTATAAAAGACTGACCCTGCGCTCTGACTCCAAGCTTCTCTCCCTGCCTGTGCATCTGTGTCTCGTGGAGAGCAAGCTGGGGTCTGCGAAAAGACGAATTCCTGATTCCTGAAGAAATTGTATATGGCCAAGAAAGTTTTTTGCAAAAAGACCCAAGTATTTAAATATTGCATAAATGATTAGCCATGAATGATTAAGTCTCTCACCCTGTTTTAATCACTGCACCCTGGAAAGTACTAACAGCAACAGAATGAGTGAAAGAGTGGAAGATCATGTATTATTCATGGGTGGTGCTGTATCATTCACACTGGCAGGCTCCAACATGCTCCTCTGTCCTGCTTAAATCTCAGTCACTTGCCAAAGACAGACAGAACGACAGGCATCAGTAGACCTAAAGGAGCACTGTCTGTGAAATCTCAACCAGCCAAATCCACTGACCAGCTCGGCTGCTGCA